TTTGGTAAGAAAGGAAAATAAGAAGAACGAAAAAGTGAATATGGATTAATTTTCTTTCTAACTCACCAAAATCAAAAGAAAAGTAAATGGAGAATTAATTATTTGTGTTGAGATGTATCTTATTTATCTATATTTTATGTATACATTAATTTCATATAAAAATACAATGATAAAATATGTATATATATATATATTAATTTTTTTTTAAAAATTAAAAAAAAATCATCTCAATTAGGGATGAAAATTTTCAACTCAATACAATGACACGACTTGAACTCGACAAAAATTTTATGACACGAACTTGATTATAACTCGACACAAACTTGAAAATGATCTAACACGTGAACAAAAAATATAAAAGATTCATAATTTTATGACTCAACAAGAATCTGACACGACACAACTCGATTGTCACTCTTAATTTTAGTCAACACAAAAAAAATTATAAAAAAATTAGTCATTTTATCTTCCATCCATCCAATCAAACACATAGGAAGGAAAGTGTATCATTCCTACTTTCCATCCTTGAAGGATAAAAAGTGTATCCCTCCTACTTTCTTACTTTCTATTATTCTTACCAAATGGAGCATTAAAGTTTATATTGTTAAGAACATCTCAACAAGGTTTTTTATTTTAACTATTTAAAAATGTATTTTTTTTATTTTAACTACTCACTTTTTTAATGTATACTTTAACATAATTTATATTTTATATATATTTTTTAAATATTATTTCTCATATCTCATACTTTTGTTGAAACTATTAAAGGGAGCGAGAGAAAAAAAATAGAGGAAAAAACAAAGATATGAGAAATGACAAGAGAAGAAAGAATATATTATAAACTATTTATCCATAATAGTACACTGATATTCTAAATATAGAACATCACTGTAATAAAAATATATTTTACCTACTCTGAACATCTTTTGTTGAAACATGTTTTTTGCCTTTGAATAACTAAATTTTAGCTATTTTAGAGTTTTAATTATTCTCTTAGAATGCTCTACCATGTATTTAAAAAATAGAGTGCATTGCTAATATGTATTTTTTTTTTGTTCAACGATCAAAAATGTTTGAACTACCTTATACGTATTTCGATTAATTTTCTCTACGATTTTGTTCAAGACAAAGTCATCCATAACAACATTAAAATATTCCTAAGCAGTGATGGGCCATGCACTAGGCCATCAAGGCCATTACCTAGGGCCCCCAAATGTGTGGCCCCAAAATAAATGTGTACAATGTTACTGAACTTATTTTTTAGGCTTAATTTGAGAACATAATGTATTTTGAATATTGAATTAGTAATAGGGACTGACATTGAATAAGTTTACTAGCAATTAAATAATCACAATTTACAAAGTGTCAAAATTAGGTATCTAGATTAAATACAAGATATATTATTGTAAATTTTTAGAATTTCTTACAAAAAAATTAGGATCCTAGAGTTCAAGTTGATATTTTTTTATCTTGGCAAATGTTTATGGTATACAAAAAATATGTATTATCACCTAATAAAATATTTTTTTATCTATTATCAAAATAAAAAGTTTAATTTATTGTCTATAAACTACTAGTTGTAAATTATAACTTTATATATATATTTTTTAATATGAGGTCACTTCAAATTTAGGATAGATTTTTGCTTAATTATTTTTTTAAAGCACACAAAATGGCTATAAAATAGAGTGAGCAAAAATATCTCACTATCTGAAACTAATTGTAACCATAGTTGTCTTGTGAATTTTTTTCTTGTTAAAACATTTGTTTGGTTCTCTGCAATATTAAACACATGCTCCACATGTTCCAATACTATTCAACTCACACAAATTTTAACTTTTACATTTGTTTTGAAAAAATTCATTTTATTAGCTAGTTTAAATTTTCATTCTTTTTCTTTTTATCTTCAATAGATAACTAGTATAATTACATTTGATCGAAAATTTGACTTCTATTAATTGAATTTTAATGTATAAAACTTGAATTCAAAAATTCAATTAATATTTTTGAATATCAAAAAGCAAAATAAATAAAAATATTTAATTTTTGACATTTGTTATTCTTTATTTATACTACTGTAAAATATATTAACCAGACCTAATTTAAAATTTTTTGTCAAGGGCCCCCACATATGTTGAGCCGCCCCTGTTCATGAGGGATTTATAAATCCCTTAAGGTTTGGTATTAAGGGGTTGTTAAGATTCGAATTCTAAATGTCTAGATTTATAGTCTATTCCTATCAGCATTTGAGTTAGCCATTGAGATTATTACTAACATGTATTTAAAAGATAGAGCATTAGAGTTGTTAGGACGTTACCCAAAAAAAAACCTATGAACACTATTTTTCTTCTTCTTTGTCTATTCATGTTGCAGAATAATTGTGTTTGCATTATCAAGCCAGTGAATTAGATCCAAAAGAGTAATACTCATGATTGGTCTCAGGTGAGGGTTTTCATCTGACACCAACTCACGGGCTGCTTGCGGCCCTGGCTACCCGTTAGCCCAATGGACTGACAGGCCGTCAGGCCATTGATTGGGCCTTGGGTCATTTGGAGAGCCTTAATTGCATGTCCCCTACTCTCTAGAGTTCCCAAAACAGAGCTATGCTTTAGCAGCATGTTTGGATGGAATTTGGCCGAGGGATTGGACTGGTTTGATCAAACCAGTCCAAACCTTAAGCTCTATCTTTCAGTAAATGAGATTAAAAAATATATTCAGTTCATACCCGTATTTGATAAATAACATACACATCTGTGAGACCCTCAAATTTATCACCATTATCATTATATATTGATCATGTAAATAACTATTTTGTCAATTGACCAATTCAATCGAAACTTATATTTGTTTGTGTAATTTCTTTTTTTAGTTAACTTATGAACTTCATATTTTGGAATTTTTTTTCTTCCCAACTTAAGATGTCAAACATCAATACTGATAAAAAATTATGTATTTCATATAACCACAATAAAAAAAAAAAAATTGTGAAACATTATCATAGTCCAAAAATAAGTCGTACGAAACGTTCTTATAAAATAACATTTAATATACTGGAATATACAAAAATAATTGTACATCCAAAATGATGCACCAAAATGGGATCATGCTTTGTCCCGCATTTACAAAACTCAAATGCTTGTGCTAATAAACCAACAAGTTATGGTACACTCATATCTGTATAGGGTAGACAAAAAGTGAGTTTAAGAGAGTACAAATGTAATCTTTAATTCCAAATCAGTTTGGCCCTTTGAAACCCACAGTCCTCTTGGATAGTTGAAACCCACTTTCATGGGTTTAAGAAGTCGAGCCCAGTCTAATCCAAGACTTCAGTTCAATCTCTCTTAAATCTAAACCCTCTTTACAAAGATGAGATTCAACATTCAGTCACATTCATACCCATGTTTGGTATGCCTACGAATATATTACTATTATATTAATATATTTGTATTTAAATGACTATTTTACTCCTTTATCAATCTAATTCAAACCCATTTTTGTATGCGTTGAAATATAATTGTCTTTTTGTATCCTAAATCCATTAACCCTCATCCGAAACACCCCCCCTCCCCAAGTTTGATGAAACCCATAATCTAGAGTTTAAGGTCGGGACCAATAGCGGACCGGACTTAGTAACCCAAACTTCAAATTTTTGGCCAAACATAAGTTTTGTGTCATTTGAACTATTTATCTCCGAATCATCTTCCAAAACCCATCAATCGCACTTACCAAATATCCCCTAAGGATTTGGGTGAGGAATTGAACTATTTTTTTAAAATCCACCTTCTATAGACTCGCCAAAACTTTTATAACAAACAGCCCCTAGGCGTTTAAAAGGTAGTGATCATGCAATGGAGGAATTGTTTTCCATGAAGAAACGATGCATCTCTTTTCATGTAAAATGGCAACTTTACATGCAGAGCCGGTCAATCCAATAGGGTTAGTAAACAAATCGAGCAGTTCAAGTTCGTCTTGGTTTTGACTTGATCGAGTTTATCTATATTTGAAAACAAGCAAAATATGATTAAATTTGAAATTAATTGAATCTTCAAGTCAAACCCAAACAATTTATTTGAAAAAAGTAAAAAATGTTAATATATTTTGTGGTAAAGAAATATCAACATAGTACTATTAGCTTAATGGGTAAAGTTTATGACTTTTAATTAGGAAACTTTTTTTTTGATAATTAATTAGGAAAATGTTTGTTCGAGTCTTATTAGACTTACATTTTATTTGGGTCGGACATGAGCATGTGACCTAAAAATCGAGCCAAGCTTGAGTGAAAAACCAAGATCGACAATCAATTATTAGTTGAATTCAAGTCTGTGATAGTCAACTAGAGCCAAGTCTAACAAAACCAAAACTAAAAAGCTCGGCTCAATGAATACTCTAGCCTCTTGGCACATCTCTATAATTACTAAATAAATTGCCAGAACCAATTTGAACCAAGCTTAAATTGATTGCTTCTTGAATTCTTGGAAATGCTGTTGGCTTATCCCTTTCAGATTTGCAGTACTCTACCACAGCCAGAGTTATGTCATTGAAGAAGAGAGGCGTGAATAATCCTCCCATTTTCTTAGCCTTGTTTTACTTTTCATTTGCCTCACTATTGACTATTTTAAAGAGAATAGAAAAGCCCATGCATAATTTTGAAAACTTTTTATATTTTCAAGGAAATCAAAATGAAATAATGATAAAATCAAAAATTCCTACACTTTGAGTTATTTCATAATGTTTCAAATTATTTCAAGATATTTCAGTATATTTTAATCAATAATGTGAAACGTTTTGGAAATTTAATTGCCAAATTTTTTATTTGATTTCATTCAATGTTTTCAAAACATTTCTCAAACGTTTCTTTTTTCTGAGTGACTGAAACAATATACCAAAATAGAATTTTGATCCTTGGGTGTTGTGAAGGAACTGCACGAGTAGATAAGTTAAGTGAGGTGATACACATCAAATGGTGAACAGAGAGGAAGCTGAAAGGGGAAGACAAAATGGTATTGGAAGGAAATAAGAGTCCACAATGACAAGTATGTGGATCTTCAGGTTTGCCTACAACTCCTATAGGCCTCATAAAGAAGTCCCTTACCACCATCGGAGTAAGATTGGCTATAGACAACTAGGCCAGTGCCAAAGGGTTAGCGACATGGAACACAAGGTTGCATCACTTACAGCACTATACAATTGTACACCTGAACCGATTCACTCATATTCACTAGGCCCAAAAGTCTGATAGCTAGCAGGTGAAGTATGGCAGAGCGAAAAACAGTTTGCTCCAGCGAATATAGGTAGAATTCTACCATACCATGTCTGTTCATTGCTCCTGATTACTTTTTCTTTCTTAGTTGATCGTCACTGCAATGACTTTTCAACAATAACACCACATAGCACCATCAGTCATGAGGTACCATAACCTTCAGCTTTTGCCTCTCTTTGAGGCTTCAGGATGCAGCCTACAAGAACATTGCCATTCATACGGGAGTATCTACAATTTCATGCTCAATGCTCACCTTGAGATCAATCCTTCATTGATGAAACTGTTTAGGCGGGTTGCTACGTGCAGAGTTGCTGAGAAAAACTGCTCTTTACAACCGGCAGATGATGAATAAGACCTAGGAGAAACAACCGACGAAGGCTCGAACATGACTTTGAAGACCTGAGGACCTTCACTTCTCAGTGATAACTTAAGCATCTGGGGTTTAAAAACAATGGGGTAAGCTAGAACTAGCACATCAAATTGAACAAAAATTTAAGGGAACAAAATGGCAATAAATGGAAGAAAATAAACAACACAACAATTTACTGAAAGAAGCTTTCGCAAGGACTGTGAAACTGATGTTCTCAAAGCCCTTAATAAAATCTTAGGACTGTATTATACGAAAAAACAAATCACTACTCTCTTCCCTACCAATTTTGTATATTTCTCTTTGCCTCGAGTCATACAATGAAGAGCTCTACAATTCGTTACAGTTATTTCTATGCTCTTCAACCATTTCATTTGCCACCAAAACACTATCCTAAATCTGTGTTCTTGTAACAAAGCACTTGGGCTTTTTCATATTCTATCTCCCAAAATAGCCCCTAGCCTTATTGCCAATAATTTTCCCAGAATCTTACACAAACTGGTAAACTATGGTGATTGGTCTAAAATCACCAGTTTTCAAAGATTTGTGTTTATAGGATATCAAGCAAATTAAAGTAGCATTAGTATTCATATTCTCCACACCATTCTTCTAAAATTCCCCAAAAACCTTCATTAAGTCATCTTTGGCTACATCTCAACAATCTTGAAAATAGGGCCAGAGAAAACCCATCCGATATTCTACTACAATCAAAAAACAGCATGTCTCACTTCCTTCTGCTCAAAAAGTCTCTCCAACCAACTAGCTTTCTGATCCCCAATAGAACACATCTCCAACCTTAATAATTTCCCTTCTTCAGATAAATAAAGAGCTTTAAGATATTTTATGATTTCCTCCTCAGTACTCCTTCCATCCTCAACAACCATTCCATTACCAATTTCAAGCTTGCTTATTAAAATTTTCTTCCCTCTACCACTAGCCACTCTATGGGAAAACTTAAAAAAGCTGCAATCCCCCTTAAATAAGTCTAAAGAACAAGTGAACATGATAGTGACTTAAACTATTGAAACAATAGACAATCAACCTGAAAAAATCTTTAAAAAGGTATTGATAGAAATTCCACACTACTTAACATTGGCTCAACTGTTACATCGTGTGTCGTGAAAAGACAACTCCATGCCCTCCCTCATCCTTGTCAAAATTCAACTTCATTAATATAAGCACATACATCTTGTCCCTCCTGGTGCATCAAGTCTGCAAATTTCACCGTGTGCTAATCACCATAACCAACATCTTAGCGTGACTCTTGTACCAATAGGAATCAAATTTTGGATTCCTTTGCCTTGAAGTATTTCCAAAACAGGACATTGTCAGCCAATAGTCAATTGCTAGTCTCTAATCCCAATGCTCTTCTTATGCAGAACATAAGTGCGACTCGGAATGTACCAGTATCAAAAAAAACACAGGAAATAACCTTCAGGACAAGGTTCCAAATGCACACTTTAAGATCCGTTTTTCACCATACATACTAGCTATTCATATCTGGCTTCATGGAGATACAAAAGCATATTCACCCAGAATGTAAGAAATTGTAAGTTACAACCAACCATATGCAATATATTATCGTGGTATCACAGACGATGCATGGTTAATGTCACTGTTCGTGATTGGCTGAATAATTGAACATAACTTTTAAGTGTCACTATGCCAAGTACTTAGCACACTGCAAGCTATAAACATTTGCCATACAAATCTCCAGAATATATCAGAACAATCCTGTGAAGGTGCATAGCCTGCAGGGGTAAAAGACCTCGAAAGGCCAGCAATAATCACCATCTACTCCAACTAAGCAATGAATGCCTAAAAAGAAGCTTGCACAGGTGACCCTGATGAATGCATTGGCCATTCCAATAACTAACGCAACTTTGGACTCAGTTCAGCATCTGACTATTGAACTTCCATCAAAACTGAAAGCTTTCTAAAATTGACTTCAAATCCAGGCAGATTTCCTTATTTATAAAGAAAATTCCAAGGTTATCCATCAGTGTGCATTGTCTAAAAAAATTTGATTTCCCAATAAGAAAGGTCCAAGGTCAGCGAGCAATTGCTTGGAAAATTTTCCAGACAAGCTTGGGCATCTGGATGGTCAATTTGTACGATTGGTTCAAGTAATGGCAATGGAAACTCTGTTAGTCGAGACAACTCCATTACTACTCTGTCAATAGCGATGGCATACATTCTCATTGAGAAAGGAAATTTCAGACCCTAACAGCACAATTTCCAGAAGACAAACCACTCCTCATGTGCTCTAATTAAAGGAATACACAGATGAGCACCTTCAATACTATGTGACTACGACTGAAGGGACACAAGTGGATGTGTAAGTGAACTATTTTTTTTTATTTTTTTTGGGTTGGTTGTTTGGGGGGGGGGGGGGGGGGAGGGAGAGCTAATGGATGGTTAAATCTTCTTTTTTATTTGCCACACACTGAACATCTATTTATTCTAACCTAATTTTCACAAACAAATTTGTCAAATATTGCTGTTTAGGTTACAAATTGCATACCCACTATTCTCTTACAACTGATAACAGAACATGCAATTACAAATATTACGGCGTTGAGGATCAGGCATAAACATGTTAAATCATCTATGAACCAATTCATACTGAATTCTTCTCAAAAAGCTTCGAATCCTAGCAACTATTTTTATATATGATCCCAACAGGTAACGACCAAATAACTTTCAGGCAACAAGCATCTCTACCAGCAAAACCACTAAAACTCAGTACATATAAAGGCAAATCGGATGCAAATTACTCCAGATCTAATAATCTATATTAGGTACATCCATCAAATTGCTTTCTCATGAAAACTTCGCATGCAATGTGGTTGTCAGTACACTCACCATTGTCAAATGAGGGGTTCAACAAGGATTATGCATCTCCTCTTCAGCAGATAGAAGCATACACAAATTAGACTAGTTTTTGTCCATGGTAAAAACCATAAGCAAAATGGCAAAACTCGCAAGGAGATAGAAGCATACAGAAATTAGAGTACTTTTTTCCTCAAGGTCAAAACCACAGTAACAAAGTGACACAATTATTGACATGGCATCTAGAAGAAAAAAATGTAATCAGAAGATCGATTCTCATTATCTTCCCCACTGCCAGCATTGCTAACTCACTTCACTTACAAGTCTAACAACTATATGCAAATCATAGCCCAGCTTCATGCGACATTATGTTTAACCCAAAGCTTTCTACAAGTGAAGTAGCTCCAAAAACACATCTGGCCGAGTACATTGTAAACTAAAAACTCTATTAGTACACGACCAATATGGATGAAATACATTCTCGCTAATAAGGGAGTACACATAAGAAACACGAATACAGATACGAGATATAGATACAATACAATACGATACGGATACAACGATACGACAAAACTTTAAAAAATAGGACACGAGTATAGTTAGGATACGTCTTTAATAAAATATATTTTATATTTTACTGTAATTTAACGCTTATAAATTACAATTTTTAGTAATTATTTAACAATAGTAAACAAATTTAATAATGTTTACCTTGAAAAATGTGTAATATCATCTCATTATTATATATCCATAAAATGAACGTGACCAATTAGAACAAATATTTAACTAATTGGTTTGTTTACAAATATTTGTTTTTAAGATTATAGTGTAACTATAATTATTAAATCACAATTCAAATTGTGAATTGGAATATTGGATTTGAGAATCATGAATCGTATCGAATCGTGAATTGTAAGATTTAACACAAAATTCGAATAAAAATAAAAATAATAAATATATATTTAAAATAGACAAAATATTGAATGTTAAATACTACTGCATTCTAAAAGTAATCAATTGACATAATTACGTGTGTAACTAACTCATTTTTTTAAACTCTTTTGACATGTAATAGTATATAATAGTTAAAAAATACTCGTGCCTTCAAAATCAAATGAAATTTTATTGATGTATAGTATTGTTTGTGAACTCAAAAGGAGAGGGTATAGATTCAAAATAAAAGTTATACATCTTACTCCATATATAGAAGTATCCACAAAATATTCATATATTTTATTAATTATTGGATCTGTATGATGCATATCCAATATGTATCCTTGAGAATCCAACGAGTATCGTATTCAATACGATCCGATACGGATATGAAGGCCTTGATGAAGTATCCGTACTTCATTGGAGTACACACTTATGGCGAACTTCTGGAACTAATTGAGATATGTTCTAGACAAAGAAAGAGGACTAAATGCACAATTTAACTCAATACCCAATTCCATGAGAGCATATTTGAACGAATCACATAACTTAAACTATTCCATCAATATTGGACATAGAATTTAAAGCTAGATATCTATCATCTCGAATGGAGCTAAAATGAAAGCCACCCCCAAATGATGCTAAGAAATTTGAATTTCAAAAAAAAAAAACATGAAGTTCCCGGTCTTTTATGATGGACCTAGTTAAGGTGTTGCTTCAATTGGCATAAAAGTCACAATAAGTTGTTCAAACTCAATGGACATCCAAAAGCATCCTAAAATCCAATACGAAGAACCTTGAAATTCTACCAAACCTATATTGACAAAATGAAACCTACAAGGAATGCATAAATGATAATTCACATTCATCATCGAATGTTTAACACTTTAGCTGAAAAACAGCACAGCATCTGAGCCATAAAATCCAATGAAGTTACAGATTCAAGTTTAGGATACTACATGGCTATGCGAAATCCACTAAAATCATAATGTAACAAAGTAAGTAACAAAGAAACCAACAAGGGCCATATAATATAACACAGATATCAAAGACTTGATACTTGTACCACAAAAGCCAGGCATTTGCGCCTATTGATACTGAAAAGAGAACATGTGTGGCACATCCAGCCAACAGTGGCACAACAAATGCAATGACATCTCAAATTCATTTCTTTATGGAAAGCCTACCAACAAAATTAGAGGGGCCATGAACTCCCAATGAAAACAATATTAAATTTGAACAAAACAAACAATAATCAAATAGAATATGATGCTATAAATTAACGATAAATAAATCGATTACAAAAGTGTATACCACTTATCAAACACTCAACTTTAATTCTAATACACAACACTTTCAACGCAATGATCACAATAATCCCATTATTTCACCAACATTAAAACAAAAAATTGAATTACCGATTGATGAAACGCTTAAGGCGGGGCAGTGAGCCTGGCTTCAAACACAAAGCCCCGAAATAGCCCGTCCCCATTGCCAGGAACGCCATCGATCCATCTCCACTCCCCTTTCCCTTCCTTTTCCGCACAATCCCACAAAACCAACTTATTAATCCTCTTCGCCGAAAAGCAAACCTTATTACCACCACCAAACACCTTAAACTTACTCGATTCCTGAAAAATCCTAAACATCTCCAACGGCATTCTTCCCGCCTCGTCCCATTCCAAGCTCTCCAAATCCAACCTCAGTATCAAGATCGTTGACACCGAAGCATTCAGCGAAAACGACGATTTTAAACCCCCGATCATCAGAATTTTATTCCCAATTCCCTTCACCAAACGAGGACGTTTTAGTATATCAAATACATCCCCCCATTCGTGCCTTTCGAGCCGAGTCCATGGCTGTGATGATTGGAGATTCGAGAGAGTGATTGTGAAAAGCTTCCATTGCGATCTCCATGGCGATCCGACGTCGCATAGAGCGAAAATGGACTCTGAAACTAAAATAGGGCTTCGTGGCTTGGATTGTAAATTTGATGAAAACTTGAGCCAATTATCGGAAGAGCCGGAATAGTATAGCGCCGCCAGTTCGGTGAGGACCAAGACTTTACTAGGTGAGCCGACTAGGACTGAGCCGTGGCGTGACCAGGCCGAGCCGAGTTGGGGTAGGACACGAAAAGTCTGAGTCAGAGGGTTACACATAACGAGTGATTTGGTGGACTGAACCGAATTGAGCGAGTTGGGCGAATTGGACTCGGCCCAGAGGTAAATGACGCCGTGGGAGGAAGTGACGGGGTGGTGGGAACGGAAGGGGAGGAAGGAGAGCGGGAATCTGACCCATTGGTCTTGGTCGGGGTCGAAGACGTGAAGGGTGGGATTAGAGGACACGTGGCGGTGGGAGGGACGGAGGGCGATGAGAGAGAGAGGAGGGTGTTGGGTCGAGATGAGTTGTATGAAGGAGGGTGATGATAAGGTGGCGTTAAGGGATTTGCAGACGGATCGGCAGGCGATGATATGGCGGAGAGGGAGGTGAGAGAAGATCAGGTGGAGTGTGTCTTGTGGTAGACGGTTGAGAGGTGAGGAGTCCATTTGTGCTTGTGGAGTGGCGTGGTAGGAGAATAAGCGGAGTGTTCGGCGGAAGTAATAGCGGCGTTTGGTCGGAGAGTTAGAAGATGAAAGTGGTCTGGTAGTGGTGTGAGAGAGTTGTGAGAGAGCTGTGGTATGTCTCGTTGTTGACTGGTTTGTCTTGATGGGGGCCAATTTTTTCGTCTTCCTGAATTAGCCCTGCATACGTGGTGACGGCTTAGTGCTAAATCATTTATGATCCAACTTGAATTCGGATTAAATTTTGGTTGATTTGAACCGAATCCGATTCAAAAATTCTTATTCAAATTTGATGTCGTTGTCTAATAAATCTTATTTGAATTAATTATATTCATCTTTCTAAAAGTTTGTCCAAATAATAGGTAAACTCTGTCGCGCATTCAAAATAGCTTAGACCTCTTTTGTCAATAACAACCATATGTTTAAGAGATGATTTTTGTGAAATGATGGCACTACCCTTGTTTGTGATATTTGTCGGAGATTGATGCTTACTTTTCATTTACTAGTATCACATTAGTTCATAATCTACCAACTTCTCACACTTGTTCGAATATCTTTTATATTTTTATAATGTCAACTTTATGTATATTCTATTTTTTTGATTTCAATTCTATATATATTCTCTTCCATTGATCCCCATGGCAAAACGTGTTAGTCATTGTATACACAAAATCATTCTTGCAATTCGTGATTTTACTTGTTGAAGCATGATTCACACTTTTTTTGTCGCATGTTTTCTAAACTTGCTATTGCATTAGTTGATTTTCACCCACCATCGTACAATGGGGTAAATGTTGACCCATCATTTATTAATGAATTAAATTTTAACCCACCACTACAGTAAGAACACGGATACGGATACGTGATCTAGATACGATACGATATAAATACAACGATACGATAAAACTAAAATTATGAATTTTTACCATGAAACGGATATAATATCATCTCATTATTATATGTTCATAAAATGAATATGATTAATTGAAAGAATCATAATCACATTTAACTAGTTGGTTTGTTTACTGATATTTATTTTTAAAATTGTAGTGTAAGTGACTCGTTTTTTTTTATATTTTCTTAACATGTAATAATAGATAATGTAAGAATTTTAATTATTCGTATATAAAATTTAAAACACCTAAATTATAAGGTTTAGAACAAACCTGTATGAGTCAGGATACTCGATCTCCGGATTTTTTCATAAAATAACAAGGTCTTCCTCTTCTTCTTCAAAACAATAGGCGACTCTCAATGGGACAAGTCAAATTAAGTTATGAAGTGGAGAGGAGACATAGCCTACTATTTGTAATCTAATGTGCTCCTCCCTTACGACCCACAATTAAATTAAGACTTACACTTAAACGCCCCAATTACATTAATTAAAGAGATGTACATAAGTCCATCAAAATCAATCACTTAACAATATTGAGTTCATCTCATTATACCATAAATTTAGCCTGTTTTTCACAAACTAAAAATTAACTATCAATTAATGAAAGTCCAATATAAAAAATTTCTAATATTCTTCCACTTTGACAACATTAATTATAGTTATTTAAAAAATAAAATAAAATATATATATATATATATATATATATATATATATATATATATATATGAAAAATGACTCTCGGGCTAATCAAACAAAAATTTAATTTGACCACAATAAAAAATATGGTCCTGAGGCAACATCTCAAACACAACTCTATCAAATTAAACTACTATTTTCGAACCATGGTGCCTTTATTGATATATGACCAATCTATAATTACAAAAAAAATATAATCCTATTGACATGAATCAAAATGTGATAGTCAGGTAGTGTAGCAAAAAAATAATATCTGAATATGTGATCTGATAAATATGTTATTTTCATTGTCAGTCCTCAAAATGATTTATCTTTAACAACATGCTTCAACAATAAGTTGGAGAAATCTATTAGTTTTAACAATAAGGTAGAATGTCTCTAACTTAAAATCTCAAGATTTTCTTATATGGTGTAATCAAAAATATATTTCATTGACAAAATAGTTATACTTAAGACATACACCAAGTCTTAAGATTTTGCATAAAATAATATGTCATAAATGTGCACACATATAATAAAGAAAGAATATCGTGCTAACAATAAAGATAATCATCTAAACATTTGTTATTTATCAAATAGATGAATCTCAATCATAATGAATATCAAATATCACATGTGGAATTAAATCAATACTAAAGTCCTTAACACATAAATAAACTTTCACTAAAGTTATTAACATGTAATAATAGATAATACTTAAAAAACACTCGTGTTTTCAAAATTCGATGGAATTTTGTTAATATTTTATATTGTACGTGAACTCCAAATAAGGGGGTATAACTTGTTGGAAATATAACAGTAGCCTAATTTACTAGGGTTTGTTATTAAGTTTTCCTTTTTACCTTTTTGTCCTTATGGTAACTTTCATTGACTATATATACGGGGGCTCTACACTTAGTTTGTATCCCTTAATATATACATATTCTTCTTCTTGGTATCAGAGCCACAACCCTAATCCTAACCCTAACCCTAACCCTAACTCTAACCCTAACCTTCTCCACTTTGCAGCCACCACACTACCACCAGCCACCATGGCTGCTCCACCTTGGCAGAGTGATATGGATGTTATCACTTCCCGATTAGATATACTTATGTTTGCTCTAACTTCTCAGAGTCCAACTACTGCTGCTGTCACCACTACAGGTATACCTCGTGTCTTTCACGCTTATGCCAATTCATCTCCCCTTTGGATGTTGGACTCGGGTGCAAATGGTCACATGACAGGTGAGGCCCATCACTTCACCACTTTTGACGAGCAGTTACATACAAAGGTTCAGTTAGTAGATGGGACACATGCCCCTATTGTTAGTAGGGGTACAGTCCTCCTTCTAGATGGTCTTACATTACGTTCGGTTTTTCATGCGTCAAAGTTGGCCATGAATCTATTATCTATACATCAGTTAGCCAGAGATTTTTACTGTGCGGTTGTATTCTTATCTGATTCGTGTTATTTGCAGGACCTGAGTACCAGGAGGATTATTATCAGGGGACATGAGAAAGATGGACTGTATTATCTTGGCAATCCACCTTCAATTTCACCAATTCCTCCACCTACATCACCTACACCTGCTTTGTCTTTTTCTGTTCCTAGCTTGCATGCTAGTATTTTACGTAGTAGTTGTCGTTATGATTATTCGTCACAAACTGTTCAATTGTGGCATGACCGTTTTGGACATACAAATTTTAAATATTTACGTATGTTGTTTCCTGCTTTGAGCAATGATTGTGTTGGTGGTAAACTTGACTGTGTTATATGTTCCCTATCGAAACATGTTAGGGCCAGTTATATTCCTCGCATGCACCAGTCACTTAAGCCATTTGACCTAATACACTCTGATATTTGGGGACCCTCTCCCGTTACTGCTTTGTCAGGTGCCCGATATTATGTGACGTTTATAGATGATCATACCCGTTTTACTTGGGTCTATCTTTTGCATAGAAAGTCTGATGTACTTCCTATAATTACTTAGTTTTTACAAATGATTAAGACACAATTCGATGTCATTGTTCGTGCTCTTCGTTCGAATAATGCCAAAGAATATGTGTCTGATGCCTTAGTGTCTCACCTTTCTTCTCAGGGTATTCTTCAGCAACTCACTTGTCCATATACTCCTGAGCAAAATGGTGTTGCTGAAAGAAAAAATAGGAGTTTAATAGGGATGGTACGTTGTATGCTTAGAGGCATGAGGGTACCAAAATCTTATTGGTATTTTGTTGTTTTGACTTCTACTTTTTTGTGCAATCGTACACCAAGTCGTGTTCTTCAGCATAAGGCTCCCTTACAGGTCTTATTTCTTGAGCGGACACTTTTTTCGGTCCCCCCTCGTGTTTTTGGATACACATATTTTGTTCAGGATAGGTCTCCTACTCGTCATAAACTTGATGATAATGCGATTCGTTGTATATTTGTGGGTTATTATCATCAATCTAAGGGGTATCGATGTTATGATCCTATCAGGCGCCGTATGTATCACAGTCTAAATGTTACCTTTCTTGAGCATATTCCTTATTTTCCTTCCAGTCCTGTGTCTGCCCCTTTAGTTGATGATACTCCATTTGATTTTCCATTACCACAGGAGTCAGAGTCATTGGTCATTATCCGTACAGAGTTATCGGTTTCTCCTCCTTTAGAGCCACTCATCTCTGTCAGTACAGAATTATCAATCTCTCTTCCTTTGCAGGTGTATGTTCGTCGTTCTCGCTCTCATCACCCTGCTGATGTCCCCTCTACCTCAGGCGATGCCGGTAATACTTCTCAGTTTACTGAACATATTGATGCTCCTGTTGTTAGTACTGATGAGATTACAGGTGCTGAGCTAGTTCATTTACCTGATGAGACATTATCAGTGGAGGAGTATGATTTAGGGCGTCGTTATCCGCGGCGTGATCGCCGTCCAATTGATCGTTATGGTTGGACCGCCAGGATTTTATATCCGATCTCTTCTTATGTTTCTTATGGTGATCTGTCTCCCACATTTTGAGCTTATATTATGACCTTATCAGATACGCCGGTTCCTCACTTTATTTTGGAGGCTATGCGAGAGTCCCAATGGATTTTTGCCATGCAGACAGAGATGGACGCTCTTCAGCGTAATCATACATGGGATCTTGTCTCCTTACCTTCAGGGGTGAAGCCTGTTGGCTGTCGCTGGATTTACACTCTGAAGTTTCTTGCAGATGGTATTATTGATCGTCACAAGGCTAGACTTGTGGCGAAGGGCTTCACTCAGGTATCAGGTCGTGATTTTGGTGCTACATTTGCCCCCGTGGTAAAATTGACTACTGTTCGATTGATTATTTCTCTGGCTGCGGAGTACTCTTGGCCTTTTCATCAATTAGATGTGAAGAATGCATTTCTTCACGGTGATCTGGACGAGATTATTTATATGGATGCACCACCGGGCTTTCGTGGTGAGGGGGAGTATGCTGAAAAGGTATGTCGACTGCGTAAGTCTCTTTATGGACTGAAATAATCGCCACGAGCCTGGTTCTCTCGCTTTAGTGATGTAGTCGTACGATTGGGGT